CAGCAGGAAGGTTGTTTTCTAAGCCCTCCTGGGGCAGGGGGAGCTGTCTGGTCAGCAACTTTTGGATGAGTCAGGTCTAGGAGCTCTTCCCAGGCCCAGCCTCCTGGCCCAGAGATACATCCAAACCCCATTTAGAAGTGGGGGTTGCTCCGGGCCACCAAGGAAGGGACCGGACAGGCCCTGGAAGGGGAAGAGGCTCTAAAAGCTGCAGAACCAGAGAACACAAGGAGGAGTGGACAGGACCTTCCCAGAATCCTTTGGGAGCCCTCCGCCTCTCCACTTCCTTGTCGTCTCCCTTAGTCTCTGAACTCTTCTGGGTCTCCTTTGGTCTCTCTCGTCTGTTGTTCATTCATTCAACACATTCAGGGCCTGCCCCATTGCCTGCTGCTTAAGAGAGCTGGATCCTGGGACCAGCAGTTGGTGTAATGGCTATGTCGCTGGACTCCCACGTAGTCGGTGGCTGCTCGAATCCTGGACCGGTGGCTTAAACTCACGCCGGAGAGAATAGAGGAGAAGGAATTGTGGGTGGCCATGCCCCCTGGGGGGTGATTTCTCGCTTTCTCTCTCTCTCTCTTTCTGGCGAGCACACTCGCCCTATAGCAAAAACCTCTCCAAAAAAAAAAAAACAACACAAAAAAAACACAGAGAGAGGGAGAGAGCTGGATCCCACATGGCCAATCATAGAATCCAGTCCCCATGGCTTAAAAAACACACTGAGTGCATGTGTGTGTGTGTGTGTGTGTGCGTGCGCATGTGCCCAGAATCCAACAGGACAGAGAAATGAAGGAGAAGGGATGATAGTGTGATCGCGCCCCATTGGGAAGTGCTTTCTCTCTCTCTTTTTGTGGCAAGCATGCATGCCCTCTGGAAAGCTTTTCTTTTCTTTTTTAAAGCTTTATTTTATTTATTCATTCATTTATTTTAATTTGACCAGAGAGAGAGAGAGGGAAAGTCAGAAAGCAAGCCATCAGGTCCAGGGCTTGAACCATGGTCAGCCACGTGGGAGTGTCCAGCACCTTAACCACCATGCCATCTGCTGATCCCCAAAACTTTTCTTTTTTTGGAGAGGTTTTTGCTATAGGGCACGTGCACTCACCAGAAAGACAGAGAGAGACAGAGAGACAGAAAGCAGGAAGTCACACCCCCCATCGTGGATGGCCACGCTGCAATCCCTTCTCCTCCATTCTCCTCTCGGGATCTTGGGGACGCACACACACACACACACACACACACACACACGGCGTGAGTTTAAGTCATCAGGTCTGGGACTCGAACTTCGGTCAAGTAGGTGGGAGTCCAGCGACATAGCCATTACGCCAACTGCTGGTCCCCGGAAAACTATTAAAAAATTAAAAATTGGGGACCAGCAGTAAATGAATAAAGTTAGGTAAA